ATATCAGCAAAAAAATCCAGGAACTGTAATCGATTTAAAGCTTCAGAATAGAACATCTAAGCAATGGCTTTAAAGATCAGCCAATACCAAGCATAGAAACTTTTCCCATATTTGATATCAAGGCCAGTGGCCATTGAGAAAACTATTAAAGAAGAAATCATGGGATGAGCACATGGGATGAGATTGTAGGAGAGGGCTTGAGTTCCATTTTGGTACCTGATTATGAGGGGAAATTATTAAAAAATAATATGGAGACCTTGTGGATAGTGATATGGTTTGAGTATGATAGTGCATGCACTGCTCACTGATTCTTGATGACAAAGAAGGACAGAAAAAAAGGTGATTTCCTCTTGCATACAATGCTAACAGAATAATCTTTTTCCAGGCCCTTGGATTGTTGCCATCTATTGCTTTACAGGCTTTCTGCTAATAAATATTCATAGTAGATGTACACACACACACACACACACACACACACACATCACTAAGAACAGAATTTCCCCTTATTAAAACCTTCATCACTCAAGTCTTTGAAACTGAATCCACCATGTGTACACCCCCATGTCATTCTGCTTAAATAGTTCTTTCATTCATCCAAATTGTTAGGATACTGAGCTGCTTTGGAGCACAATTAAATTTGCACTCTAGCACTTTGAGATTGATTGTAAGCCTTAATAATGTATGGGCTTAAAAAATGTTCTCAGTGCTATAATCCCAGTATTTTTGCTTCATGCTGAATAAGATATTAAGTGGCCATTCAAATGTGGCTAAAACTATATTTCATGCATAAGCAGTTTCAGTTCCAATCTTCTGATTTCCTTTGTCTCTTAGAAGAGAGAAAAAAGTAGAAGAAAAAACCACCACTCTTGATAATAGTACAGAATCGGTTGCTTTTCTCTGCTGCTGTTCTCGTGACTTGTTTCTTGACAAAGCTACTGTCAGCTGCATTTAAGTCAGAAGCTTTAATAACTGTCAACCACAGCAGATGTAGGTGAGATGTTGAAATGAATAAGTAGGCCATGCCAGTTTATGATGGAGCAATAGTTCTAGATGGTTTTATTTTTATCCAAAAGTCTGAAGTACATCTCATGGGAGGAAGGGTCCACATATTCAGGGTTTCTCTGATCTCTGCCCCATATTCTATCAACACAATGATCTATGATCTTAAAAGAGGTACATGGACTGACCAAAGAAAGAACATAGCAGTGGTTTTGGATCCACTGCATCCTAATAATAGCAGTATATATTTAAGGTGAATATTCTTTATCTGAATGGGAAAAAAAAAATTTTCCCCTAAATTCAAGTGCTGAATCTGAGCAAAGCATATGTAGAATAAAATATAGAGGCTAGTTTGGATATAATACTTAAACTGTTGTGATTAAACTACTGCTGAGATCATGAGAATAAATTACAGTAAGCTTCAGGGTCTCCTGTTCCCCTCAAGTTCCCTTTCCCCTCCTCCCAATTTAGATAACCATATCATCTAAATCCAGACAAGCATGATTTAGCTATAGTGAGAGGAAACAAGCCAACTTTACATAATACTTTACAGAGCTATTTGGAAGAAGCTAACTATAGCTAAAATTAACCATCATTTAGGATTAAACTTGCTTAAATCTAAATAGATAGCAGAAGCTTCTTCTCTTAGAAGAATATGAGATCCTTGTGAATGAAAGGATCTCTGAAATACATAAATAGCCAAATGCTGTCTCTGGTTTGTAGTAATATAACTAGATCTGGTAAGGACTACTGTGCATGATAGAAATTACTACCTTTTCTAATGGCCTGGATTGCTCAGAAGCTTCATGCTTCTATTTCTTTCTTCTGTACTGCATTTCTAATAACCTAGAGACTAATTTGTACACTCACTACACTACTCTGATCAGGAGGATGGGCACTGCAATCCACGTAAATTGATTTATTCAAGTGTTAATATAGGTTTTTTTCTTCCACTTAACATTATAGGTTTTATTTAGATTAGAGTTAAGACAACCCTTCTCTTAGGTACATGAAAACTATTTTGATTCATGCTGCAGAGTTCTGAAAGAAAGAGAATCAACACCAGAGTCCTCTCTTTCTGAAAAGTCTCATAGTGTAGTTTCATCTTCTGAATTCCAAGATGTTTTCATATAACATCTAACCAAATAAGTGGAAATTTAAATCCTAATAATGTTAAATTCTTCAGAAATTATGCTATTTAAAAAATCTGTTTTTGAAGTGATTAACTTTATCTACAACCCTTCTAAATTGTTCAGATTTATGACATGTGCCAACATTGGCCTGGTAAGGTATATATTGTCAATAAATAAATACAGACTTTATCTAACTGCAGTATGTAATAGCCTTATTGCCAGCAAAATCAAGCTACCGTATTTTTCCGACTATAAGGCGCCCCCATGTACAAGACGCCCCCCATTTTTCAAACCCAAAATTAAGAAATCAATATTTTAAAGATAAAGCAGAGCACATTTTTATTTAGTAATTAGGTGACATTTACCTGATAACCCAAAATTAAGAAATCAATATTTTAAAGATAAAGCAGAGCACATTTTTATTTAGTAATTAGGTGACATTTACCTGATACACTCAGTGGGAGGAGGTCCAAACTGTCTCTCTGCAGCTCTGTTTCTATGCTGTTTTGCAAAACTGATTACATTCAGTTTAAATTTTGCACAGTAT